TTAAGGGTAAGCTGCATAAATAAAGAAAATATTAGTTTACAGTCCTTCTCTCTCTCCCTCTCTCTCTCTCTCTCTTTAAGGGCTACAATATTTTTCAGCGATGCTGTGGGCGAAACAGAAAGTCAAGTAGAGATATATCTCACACCAAGAGATTATCAACTGCAGTTTATAATCTCTTGTCTTAGACCGATCAAACTTAGCACTTTGTTCTCACACGTGCTGCTTGCATTTATCTTTATTTCTTGCCACTTTCGGTCTCATCGCCCAAACGATGCGTGTTTATTTTTGAAAAGGTTACCAGCTAAAAAAATGAATTTAGTAATAGTTATTCTTTTCCCACTTTAAAAAAAATACATTTCTGGCTAAAATTGAGCAAATTCAGAGATAAAAGAGTTGTCATTCCAAACCACTTGATAATATTTGTGGAGACCTTCCAAAGTTTTGATTTGATTGCAAAATATTTAAGGTCTGCATCATCTTAATCTTTTGAATTTATGATCTCATCAGCAATTCTTCCTTCTAGCTCCCTCACATTACTTTGTTAGTCAGTAGCAAGAATTTAATGTTGTGTAAACAGAAACCCTCAGCGGATAAGTTTTCTCGCCGCTTGTTTACTGAATAATATGTTGATATTGGAAGGAGATGCAACATGTTTGTCACTTCTGTAACCTGAAGGTTTTAAAAAATTGGGCAAAGAGAAATTAAAACCACCAAACTTTTATCAATGATATGTGAGCTCAAATGTTTATTAAGATATCCTTTGGACAAGCTGTAATGCAAGTTTCATCCTTACTAGGTTTATAATGATTACTTTTAAGCGATAATTTTCCAATTCAATCTAATACTAACTCTTTGCATTCTTCATTGATTTGCAGAAAAAAATTTAATTAGTTTCGCCATTTTGGTCTCCTAACTATCTAAAGATCTTTTCATTTCAAAAGCCGTTATGTGTTAACATGTTTTGAATTGTTTGAAATTATTTAATGCAATAAAAATTTGGAGAAGTTGGTACATGAGCTACTGAAGTAACACGAATGTAATTGAGTGAAATAGGAAGATTTTTCTTCGTCTGAAAAAACAAACAAAAAATATTATGTAATAGGTTAAAACGCTGGATAGAATCTTTGCTCTTTGCCCAAATTTATGCTGTATTAAAATTAAGAAGTGTGTTTTT